AGGGAAAGAAAGACCAGGCTAGAAAAAGGAGGGAAATATTATTCTCCAAATGGAAGACATTCTTTCAAAATAATATGTAGACTGGAAAAGCTTTTTTCTACTATGTATCGACTACTCTGGAATAACATTTAAGCTTGCAAAAGAGGAGTTTTAAAACTTATTTTGTTCAACAGTTTGTTGCATCTTATAGGCAATTATTATCCAAAAAATATTCCTAAATTCTCACATTTGATACAGCCAGTTTTACTTAACCAAGGCAGGAAAAGCAGGAAATTTACAGAAATAACCCTAAGCTTTGTTTAAAGAAATGGGATTGAAAAGAGGATAATGTTGTTGATAGTTGGTATTCTGTAGTTATGGGCACTAGATCACCTTGTCCATTGTGTGTACAGGACACTTCTGGACAGGTTTATGATCATGTGAAGGACAAAAATCCTAAGAAAAGTGCCATCAAATATATGACTCCTCCCCACTTCAGAGGAGTGTCACCAGAGAAAAAAAAACAGGATTCAGTCATGTGACATCTACCAATGTACCAAAGAAGGTGGTAAAATACTCACCACGAGGGATATTCAAACTGGATAATGCCACAAGAAATAATTAGTTAATGCACAAAAGGGTATAATCTTTCACACACACAAGAGAGGAAATAGATGATCTTGGAGGTGTTCTCCACACAGGGGTTTTTTGGACACACTCAGAGGCAAAGCAAGAATGACTTTTCCTGCCTGTCTACGTGTGAATGTGACAAAGCACCCACATAAAGGGAGTAGAACTGACAGTAGCACCCGAGGACACAGGACCACTGCCAGTTCCCACGTGCCTGTTGTGGAATTCGTAGATTTCTGGGAGGTTCCCAAAAAGAATTTCCTTCTTGTTCTGGAGTGCAGATGGAATCAGATGTACTAAATTGGGATTGTCCATTTCTGAAGCATATCCCTGCAGAGAAAAGTGGAAAATAAAACCAGGCTTTTTACACCAGGGAAGAAGTAATGTGCCTGAGACAATGAAAAGCCCCAAAGCCTATGTGCTTTTTGTTCCCAGCACAACAGACAAAGGCTTCTCCTGTGCCAGCCTCTGTTGCTCCCATGAAATTCTGATGGTTCTAATTTTCCCCAGAGCTTTTACCCCTGATAGCTGTGCAAACACATTTTTAACCACAAATGGACAGATTACTGGATTAACCAAAAAGATGGAACTATGTCCATAGGATACAAAAGCCATTTTGGTCATGTAAGGATGGATGGAAACTGCTAAGTTTCATCAGTACATGTCTTTCTGCTACACTGCTTCACTGCCAAGGGGTTAGTTTGGATTTATTTGTTGATCTGTGGTATTTGGCTTCGTTATTTGATTGTTTCTTGTAGAAACCAGATTGTGTTTCTTCAATAAAAACTTTGAGAGAAGAACATTCTGAGTGCAGATTTTAAACTCAAGAATAATATATCAATTACCAGAGCTGTCAGCTCCCACAGATCAAATCCAATAAAGGAGCAACCACAAGGTTGTAAAAAGAAACTACACAGTCCTTCAAGTCCCACCCAAATACAAGCAAGATTGGGGCCCTACTCAGCCTCCATCCCCCCACAGACTAGAGACTTCAAACTCCACAGACTGAGTACACTGGTAGCCTAGGAGTTTCAAAAGCTCAAGAGTTATATTTCCAGTGTAAGTTGCTCTTTTCTGTGTTCAGAAACTACATGGGACAATAAATATGAGGGGGAAAGGGGGCTTCTTTTTTCTCAATTATTTTCTAAGTCTACATTCACAGAAATGTAGTGGCCCCATGGAAATCTAAGGTGCTATTTCTGAAGCTTATTGATGATACTTTGAATAGGCACATAATTAACTACTCCTCTGTCCCTATTGTTGAGAACTATGCAACATTCACCGTTCTGTGGGCTGGGGTCAGAAAAGGTGCCTCTTCCTATAAGCCCTGAGGAAAGATGGTCATAGTATCCTTCTCATTTTCCATCTCCAAGGCTGAGCTATCTTGCTAACAGAGTCTGTTGTACTCTAAACACTAGGTGGGAGTGCTCAGCCCATGGAGGATGTGCACCCACAGAGATGACTTAGAGGTTAAGCACCAGAAATCACTACAGAAGAATTTCTTACCTCTATTATACTTTGAAGTTCTTCTACATAAACCCGTTCTGTTTCTATTAGCTCATTGATTATGTGGCTAAAAAAGAAGAAAGGTGGAAAGTTATAGTGTTTACCAAGAGTTCAACAAAGCACACATGAAAGAAAAAATTGTGTTCCTTGTAGGTTCATGTTTATGCATCTGACAACCCTTCTGTGACACCTGTGAAGGTTGTTTCTTCATACTTCAATATTGTGCCTTGTTGATAAACTTAAAAGTCCTAAACATCCCATGTGTAGAGGGGATTATTTTTTCAGTTAATTTTAGACATCACCTTGTGTGTTTCTGTTATTTCTAGACCTACAAATCTGAATCAAAAGATTTTAAAAGCTCCAGAAGGAAAAAATATTAAAAGCTTTCCTCCTCTATAAATAACTAACAATACTCAACAAAAGGGGATTATATTTCCCAGGGCTGTTACATTTCTGTTTTGCCTTCTTGTATAAAATAAACAAAATGGCAAGTAGGCCTTCTTTCCATAATACATTGTGAAAACAGGCTGATGTCAGAAGTCTGAAAACACGAAAGGAAATCAGAGTAAAATATTTACACTGTATTTTGGACTTTTCATTTTTAGTATTAGTTCAATGCTGTTATGTACCTTGGAGACATATATCTTGAAGAGGCCTGATTTCATAGAAATATGACTGTAACCAATTCATTTTCAGACAAAAAAACTCATCAGATTTTAAAATAAAATTGCATTAAATCCCTCAACTTTTTTGTGAATCAGTTGTCCCACGTTCTTGAGCAAATATTGTCCTTAATACTCTTACAAAGTTTTTAGGCTAGCTATTCCAGAGGTTTGAGCAGTTTGTCCAAGTAGAAGAGGACTAATGCCTGTTATTCCTTTCCCAGTCCATGCCTCACAGGAGTCTGTAACCACAGAGCTACAAGGTAGGGAAATGGGTCAGGGCTGTACCCTGCACACTCCAGAGTACTGACTCCAATTAGTTAACCTCCAGGTTGATCTCAAATTGAGATATTTATGCACAGAAAAGCTGCATTCAGCAATAGGGAAAAGAGGTATCACCCCTCATGACTAAGCAACAGTACTGAACAAACAAGGGTGCAGAGGGATTCTGCTGAACTATGCAAGAACTCATAAAGCCAAGCCTTATAGGACTTTAGCCCCTGTGAGAGCTCTGTTCATGTTTCCCTGACTTTGCACACCTTTGAGCTTAAAAATATGTTTAGGGTGTGCTCAGAGTACTAGATTACACCTCATGAGAAAGATATATATGCCACTTTAATGCACTTTCATGAGAGTTGCAGTCAATGGCCTAAAGGGCCATTTGTCAAAAAAATTATTTTACAAACTTCAGCACTTGCTTTTACAGCTGACTGAAACAAATACAACAGTCATGGTTAAATATGCCTTTCCTTTGAACAGGCATTGAAGTTACTGCCCAGACCAGATGCAAAGCAGGACAAGCAAATTGCTGCTGTTCTAGCACCACTACCACCTGCAGCGCTGAAAAGAAATTGTGAGGACAAGGAGTGAAAAAAACTAGGCTGGCTCTTCAACTGAACTAACACACCTCACCAAGGTCAAGCCACTGATGGTTCTCAACACACTCTAGTGGCAGAAACTTGTTGGATCAGACAGGTGTTTAGTGCTGACTATCTACTTTCAACTGAGTAGTTCAAATGACATTTTTCACTGCCTGTCACCTTCAGTAGAGAAAACTGGAGATTCAGTTGCCCAGGTAGGCAGATAATAGTAAATACAATAAAAGAGACACATGCAAATATAATTTCCTATGCAAACTCCATATTTGTGTTGGTACAACATTGTGGCCATAGAAATTGTGTATCGATCTCTCCTGTCCACACAGCAATGGTCTTTGCAATGATAAAGAGAAATATTTTCACTTTCAGCACTCTCCAGAGCCAAAGGATGGGTATATTCTGGGTTCCCTTGGTAGACCTAAGAACAACTGCTCTGCACTTGTTTCATGAATTGGAGAACAGGTTTGGCACTGTTTGAAAAAGTTGTTCCATCAGCTATACATTTAGAAATATCACTTTTTACTTCATTTCTAGCCTAAATTTATTTCAAGAAAACTTCAAATTTTGTTTATTATTTATGTTCTTCAGATTTAGAAGACCTAAAATTTCATGTTGCAGCAATTGGAACTTCATGAGTTTTATTTATTGTTCACAATTCACACTTCCAAAAAGGTCTTGTATTGTTTAAAAAAAAAATTAACAGAGGAGGTGTGAAAGCAAGTCATCAGAGAAACTTAATGTGTTTAAAGTTTTAAATTAATATTTAATTTTAAATTCAGCTTATTGTTGGAAGATGCTTATTTGCCTGCAAACAAGACATTGATCGTATTATTTCTGTTACCTAACAGATTACATCAGGACTGACTCTGAAGCAATCTGAGCACTTAGCTGACAATTATACCTGAAAAGCAAATTATTAGTCCATAGGTTTCCTAGTAACTGCCACAAACAAAAACCAGAGTGGTGACTGTCAAAAGCACAATTCAAAGTAATCCAAGAAGTAGAACAGTGGCCTTTAGAACATTTTACTATTCCTCTTTCTAAGAAAGATGAAGCAAAAATTAATTTTCTGAATCATCATTTAAAACAGAGTACCAGCTCTTGAATCCCCACTGCAGTAACTCTGTTTTTTAAAGTTGATTTACTAATCCTAATTTTGTTTGGCAACATTGTCCATTTAGGGCATTTAAAAATAAAAAAAATCACATATGAGGAGTGTTTCATTAGAGGAAGTTCTGTGGGACTCCTAAGATAGTGCCATTGTAATTATAGGTTGTCATAAAATACAATTAAATTCTTTAAGAAGATTATATTTTATTATTTAACTTAATTCCATACGTAGATTTATACTAAGAGTAAGTGTTATAGTTTTTTAAGTGTTGTGCAAAACTTGTTTAACCAACCCTCTCACTCCTTGTAAAGGCACTCAGCCATTTTTGTTTTCTGTTTCAATGACAATGAAACAGAGACAACATAATTATGGTATTTCTTAAGCTCCTGGTTAGAGTCCACAAGCTTCGTATCTCTAAACCATGAGTCTGTACATAAAGCGTAATCATTTTCCAATACTTCCCTACAGTGAGATAACAGGATTTGCTGTCTAAGTAAGACTTTCACTGCTCTTTTGTGTGTGTGTGTTTCTTTTGTTATTGTCATCGCTTTTCCTTTTAACTGTATTCTTTTTCCAAACACAAATTGTGTACAGATTAATAAAGAGGAATTTAAGCAAACATCCAGCATTCTCTCAGACTCAGCACACATGTTTTAGAGCTGTTTTTAAACTTGCCTCTTAGTATCCATGGCCAAGTTTATCTCTGGGATTTCCTACTTGGAACACAGGAGCTGGATGCTTAAGCCTCCCACTGTCCCTGAAGCAGAATAACTCTCATGCTTCTGCAAAGGGCTGGTGGGTGCAATTTCTGTTCCCAAGGCTGGCACTGGTTGAAAGTGTTGCATGATAGAATCCATCCATCCAACAACCATCCATCCATCCATCGGTCCGTCCGTCCGCACCCATCTCACAGGCTCCAAACGTTATTTTACGTTATTACAAAGAATCGCAGAATCATTGAGACTTGAAAAGACCTCTGAGATGATCAGATCCAACCTGTGATCTAACACCACCACACTGGCTAGACCATGGCACTAAGTGCCACATCCAGTCTTTTCCTA